AACCCAGGACTAAATATACTTCTGTTTAAATGGAGTGAAAGAAGCCAGGCTTCCTAACCCATATTTGCCACACATGTTTGACACTATGCATATTAAAAATAACAAAAAACTCCAATTGCTTTTAAATAAGTCCAGACAGATAAAAACAAGGTTTCTATATGCTAAACATCTTCCTCCTTTTTTGAGAAGCTATATTTACACCCATAGAATCAGGGGTGCCCCACTATGAATTTATTGGCTGCTATATTAAGACTTATTGTGGGAAACAACTTGAAAGGGAAATTTCTCTGTGAAAGTTTCAAGATGTATTCAGTGACATGAAATATTTCCAATAAGATAGGTTGTGGAAACAGACAGTGTAAAATGGAGGGGTACCAACCTGAAACTTTAGATAGGGCATGTGTACGCTCATTCAGAACCTTGCAGTGAAGTTCAAGCCCTAGATTATTTGGTTTACTTTATTTTTCATTAAAGTGCACCTCTGCCTCAAAGCGGAAGTGAAGTGCCAAACTTGTATGTATGTCTCTTCTCAAAGTGATTCCAGAAAGATGGGAAACAGGATGTACTGAAAATCCTGTGAGAAACTCTGATTTTAGATTTCTAGCTCAATCTGTGGAGATTTAGTGCACGGATTCGTAAATGTTCCATAGAACACTATTTCAAAGGATGCATTTTCATTAAGAACTGTTTATTTAATCTAGACTTTCCCAAAAATTGACAATGGAATTCTGATTTAGCCTAAAACAAATTTATCAAATCCACTCTCAGCTATGGTGTACTGGAGGTTTTTGTTTGTTCGTTCATTTGTTTGTTTACTCTGATACTAGCAATTAATATCTGCATGGTTTTGAATGTGATATTTAGATTTGTACCTGCATGTGGGGGCTTGTGACAGGTTCAGTCTATATTGCTTCATGCATCAGTGGAGATGAGGATTGGTTAAGTTCTGCTCAACTACAGCAAGGATGTGATAACAACTAGCCAAAGTATATAGATGTTTTTGGCAAGTAGGCTTTGGATTTGAACCATGTTGGAAGTGAGGAGGGAGGGCTCACTTCCAAAGTGGATCATAGCCAGGGGTAGGAAGATCTAAGAGAGCAGGCCTTGGAAGCCAAGGATGAAGGGAAGATAAATCCAAGGGATGAGCACTGCAAGGGGAAGCAGAGACGGATCTTCCCAGAGAAGACGGAAGAATTATCATTAATATAAAAGATCTGGGAGTTAGTGGAGAAGGACCGCAGCGCGAGGGCTGTGCAGGAGATGTGAGAGAAGAAATGAGGCAGGCGGTGACCTGGCAAGACCTGCTGTCTGCAAAACCTGTGTATCAGTTAAAGTTCTCTAGAGGGATAGAATCGATGGAAAATCCGTGTGTGATGGAGTCAGGGGATATGTCAGTCAGATGGGCTCAGAGGCAGGAAAGCTCGCATTGCATGTCTGTGGGATCAGAGGCGGGAGAGCCCAGCAGCTCCTACAGAAGCTGCAAGCTGTGGAACTTGAGGGACCAAGGATGCAGCATCGGTCCAAGGTCAAAGGCCTGGAACCTCCCTGGAGAGTCATTGGTGGGAGTCTTGGGTGGAAGAAACTGGGTGGAGACCTAGAGACCAGGTCCAAGGGCTCTGGCAGCAAAGGACAGACCCACTCAGGAAGACTGGAGCTCTTAACAATGGTACATGCACTTCCTTCTTATTTCCCTTTTTTATTCCGCCTAAACAAGCGACACGCTTAGTGGTTGGTATCACCCACATTCGGGGCAAGTCTTCTCCTCTCAGTGTGCTGCCCTCCATGTGAATCATCCACAGACACTGTGCCCCACTGGTCTACTAGGAAGGTCTTACTGTAGTCAGTTGACAAACTGTGGCCAGCCATCACCGTGCATGTGCCCCATGACTGTCTCCAGTTTCTCATGGACCATGTTGCAGAGTGGTTCTTACTTTTCTGACAACCCTTCTTCACCTTACATGAACATTTCTCCTGAAGTGACAGGCTGTGCTGGTGTCTTCTGATACGGTAGTCATATCACATTAAAGGCTGCTTAGTAATTGTGAAAATTAATGTTGTTTCTGACATGCAAATATATATTCCTTTTACCCAGAAAACACAAGTCCTTTCTTCCACAAGCTACTAGATAGGCACCAGGACTTGTGTGATTAACTTTCTGTTATAGTTTAGATCTCAAATGTCCCCAAGGCCCCCTATGTTAGCAGGAGGGGCTTTTGGAAGGTGACTGGGTCATGGGGGCCTTATTCTCATCATGGATTAATGCCCCCCCATAGTACAGCTACATGTGCTATTAGTTGAGGCCTGGTAGGAAAAGGAGGTCATGGGGTGTGACCTGAAAGGGGGCATCTCCCTCCCTTGCTCCTCCTTTCATCGTCTACTTCCTGGCCACCATGATGTGAGCAACATTCCTCCCCCAGGCCCTTTCACCATGTTGTGCCTGCATTTGACCTGCCAACCATGGACTAAGACTTCTGAAACCGTGAGCCACAATAAGTCTCTCCTCCTTTAAGCTGTGGGTGTTGGGTATTGTGTCTTACTGATGAGGAAGTAACTAAGACACCTCCAAATATACTTGCTTCTTTCCAAATATACTGAAAAACAAAACAAATAAGCAATGCTTCTCTTTTGTTGACACACCAGAGCTTGGTCTGAGTCTACAGCCCCTATGCAGCATGTGCATCAAAAGTAGAAAGTGGAAAATAATGATAAAAAATATGGAAAGATGTATTTTGTCCGAAAGTGAAGTTTTTAGAGTTCTTTCTTTCTTTCTTTCTTTCTTTGTGTGTGTGGTACCAGGGATCGAACTCAGGACCTTGTGCTTGCAAGGCAGGCAAGGAAACCACTGAGCTAAATCCTTGGCCCTAGAGTTCATTTTTTAAAATTGGGATTTTGTTTAGAAAATTCCTTAGTCTAGGAATAACATCATTTTATATTTTACATAATTATTGGCACTTAGTAACTAACAAAAGCAAGTTACAACTAAAACATGAATTTTCCAAACCTGAATGTTGCTTACTGATTAGGAAAATTGAAAGCCCAGTCTCGTCTCATTTCAGGGACAGAAAACATAATTTGAAATATTTACCCAGTGTCATATGACCAGAGCTGCAGATTTTGACCTATATGTGGTGATCGTTTTAGCAGCCAATGCAAGCTTAGCTGGGAGTGTACTACAACTCCTGCAAATTTGAAAAAAAAAAAAAAACTGGCACAAATTACTGGCCAAATAATGGCAGTATTACCTCCGATCATTGTTCCAGGAATAGGAACAAAAGTGATTAAAAAGTAAACTGAGAATGAGCTGCAACATCGGTTGTGGTTCTCAGAATGGAACACCAGAAATCGACGGGCAGAGAGAGCGCCTCTGTTCCTCCACAGCGGTCCCACTGATCGTTCTACCAGGGCGGGAGGGCAGCTTTGGGCAGGAGACGATAGGGACGTTCTCGTGCTTCTGACTCCTCCCTGGCCCTGCTCTGAAACACTGAAGGAGAACTCGTCCCACCTAGGCCTTCGTGACTTCGTCTTTCTTCTCATTCTGCCCTCCTCGCTGTCTTTCATTTCCGAAGAAGGTTTAAGAGATGTAAGCGGCTGTCACGTTTTCGAAACATCCGCGCAGCTGGGTGTGCGGCACAGCCGGCCGGCCGGGCTCCCCCATTGCTGTCCGGTGGAGTGGAGGCCGCTCCAGCGAGAGGCCTGGCCCTGCTCACTGTGCTAAGACGTGGCCCTCGCCGGCCAGTGGGGGAGGCCTGT